GGGGGGGGTTCCTGGGAATGGGGTTACCCAAGGGGGGGCAGAGTGGGGGGTTCCCAGGGTGAGGAGAGGGGGTGGGGCTGCTGGGGTAGGGGGATTCCCCAAGGGGGGGTGTTAGGGGACATTGGGGGGGGCTTGTTTCCATGGAGCCCGTCGACATGAGAGTAACCGTGTCCCGAACAGGCGGGAAGCGCGGCCATTGGCCCGCTCCACGTGTCAGTCGCGGGCCTGGGCGGGGCTCGGAGGGTGCCGGCCTGTGGGCGGGGTCAGGCGTGGGGCCGGTGCTGTCAGTCAAAGTGATTGGCGCTACTTTGAGCGGCGGGAGCCCCGCCCTGCAGCGGGATTGGCGAGGAAGATGCCTCCCGCCCGCCCCTTGGACGGTTCGCGAGACGTCTCATGCCTTGGCGGGACCTTCAACCCTGCCCTCCGACAGCGGTTGGATGGCTTGCTGGCCTAAACCTGTCTCATTGGCCTCTTCGCCAGTCAATCAACCTCTGAGGCGGGGCTTGTGAGTTTATTGCTCCACCCTCTAATGATGATTGGGTTAACTCTAAAATGGCACACCCTTATTGGTCCTCTACGCCGTTTCTCAGAATATGGGCGGGGCATAATTCGCAAGGTTACGTCGTGTGGTGTGATTGGGAGGCCGCGGTTGTCAATCAAAAGAGGCGGGGGCCGAAAGCCTCCTCCAGCCCCGCCCTCCGCGGGGATTGGATGGATCTTGGGAGCTCTTGGTTTCCATTGGTTGGACTCGCTTGCCCATCACGGAACGGGGGGGGCTTCGAGGCGTGGCAGCCCTGCGCGCCGCCGGGGATTGGCGGATGCGGGTACTTAAGGCGTCTGCTATTGGTTGGCGTGGGCTGTCCGTCGCGCCGGGGGGGCGGGGCTAGGTTGAGGAGGTGGTTGGAGCGTCCGGGCGGCGGCTGAGCCGGCAGCGGAGGTGGCCGAGAGAGCCCGGCGGTGAGTGGGGACCGGTGCGGGTCAGGGCGGGCGGGAGCCGCGCCGCCGTGGCTAACTGGGCGCTGGGGAGCGGGGCGACGGTTGAGGGGTGTGGGGGTCGTTCTGCGCATGCGTCGCTCGCGGGCGGCTGGTGTTGGGTGGGGGAGTGCGTGTGGTGGGGGAGGGTCACGCGCCCCGGTGTCGCTCGGCTTGCGGGAGGAAGCGGCAGCTGATTGGTTGGGAGCTGCGGGAGGAGGCGTGGCCTGGGAGGGGTCAGCGCGCGGCGCCGGGGGGG